ACGGGGCTGCGAAACGCGTCAGTGGTGTGCCGAAACGGGCGTGACACCCACGAACTGCGCCACGGGGGCCTTCGGTGGAGCTCCTTATGGGGCCACGGCACGTGTGAGGGGTGTGCCGAAACGTGAGTGACGCCCGCATTGAAACTGCGTCAGGGAGGCACTCGGTGGAGCTCCCTATTGGGCAACGCAACGATTGAGGGCTGTGCCAACATGGGCAGTGATGGTGATAATGATGGTGATGGTGATGGTGATGGTGATGGTGATGGTGATGGTGATGGTGATGGTGATGGTGATGGTGATGGTGATGGTGATGGTGATGGTGATGGTGATGGTGATGGTGATGGTGATGACCATGATGGTGATGACGATGATGGTGATGAGGAGGAGGATGATAACGATGATGACGACGATGATGGTGATGATGGTGAAGGTGATGATGATGATGATAATGATGATGATGATGATGATGATGATGATGGTGACGATGGTGATGATAATGATGGTGATGATGGTGATGGTGATGGTGACGGTGTTGGTGATGCTGCTGCTGCTGCTGGTGATGATGATGATGATGCTGATGATGCTGATGGTGATGAAATGTATGATGGCGGTGCTAATGATGATGATGACGGTGATGGTGATGATGGTGATGACGATGGTGGTCGTAGTGGCGGTGATGATGATGATGCTGATGGTGGTGATAAAAATGGTAGTGATGATGATGATGACGATGCTGATGATGATGGTGATGACGATGATGATGATGATGATGATGGTGATGGTTATGGAGATGGTGATGGTGATGGTGATGATGATAACGATGCTTATGATGATAGTGATGGTGGTGGTGATGATGGTGATGCCGCTACCTGCTCTCTAAGTGGCCTGGAGGCCCAGCAGCCCACCGCACTCACATACTACTCGAGCCTTGATGCAGCCACGCTGTGCCGCCCAGGCGCCATTCTACAAATCACTTTCGGATCGCCTCCACGCTCTCTTGCCTCTGGCCGCCGTCAGCCAATCTCGACCGCTTTCCATCCACTAGTACCGCACAAATTCATACTCCCACACACTCCATCATGATGATGATGATGATGGTGGTGGTGGTGATGATGCTGATGATGCTGATGATGATGATGATGATGATGATGACGATGATGATGGGAGGAGGGAGGAGGGGGGAGGAGCTGGGAGGGACGTGGGGCGCTGTCTCTCCAAAACGAAGACCCAACACCACGTGATGGCTGGGAAACACGAAGGGGGGGCCAAGAAATGAGAGGAAGAGGGTCCCAGCAATGATATCCACCCCCTAGCCATCACGACTTTCTAGCAAGAAACCACATGTGATGAAAACGACCTGGGACCAGACCCGGCGGGGGCAAGCCTGCCAAGCGGCCGCGACGCCCTCTCTAGAACCGAAAAAGAGCGACTCGGGGTGGGGGTTTTCTATCGACCTCCGACCCTTCAGGGGGGGGGGGGGGGGCCGCAATCCGGGGACGGGCCACAAACGATCCTGCTCGCGGACGGCCTTCTCCTTCTGCTCCTGCACCTCGCGGATCTCCGCGCGCACCTCCTTCGCCGCCTCCGGCATCCTCGCCAGCTGCCGCAGCTGCACCCGCGCGCCAGCCTCGCCAGGGTGGGCAGCCGGCGACGAAGGCGACAACGATCACAGCGGCAGCAACGGCGGCGACAACGGCCGACGACGGACCGACCGACCGACGACAGATCGCCGACAGACCGACCAACCCAACCTGCCGCGATCGAACGTTCGACAGACCGACCGACCGACCGACCGACAACGACGACGACGAAGACGACGACGACGACGACGACGACAACGAGGGACGACAGCACCTCGTCGAGCACGTCGATGGCCTTGTCCTGAGGAGGCTGGGGTTGTTGGCCCCTGCCGCTGGTGGTCCGGCCCTCTCTTGCACCCACCCTGTCCCAACCCCCCCTTTTTCGCCTAGGAGGAGGCGGAGAGAGAGGAGGAGAAGGAGCAGGTGAAAAAGAAAAAGCGGTCGCACAAAAGGAGGAGGGATAAGAGGAGATCCTCCTCCTCCTCCTCCTACTCCTCCTCCTCCTCCTCCTACCCCTCCTCATCCTACTCCTCTGCCTCCTCCTTCTCCTCCTCCTCTTCCTCCTCCTCCTTATCCTCCTGCTCTTCCTCCTCTTCCTTCTCCTCCTCCTACTTTTCTTAATAATAATAAGAAGAAGAAGAAGAAAAAGAATACGAATGATAATGAAAATCATACAAATACAAATACTGTTATTAATAATCATGCAAAACGAAGTAATACGAGTAGAACTAGTATTATTGCTATTAGTATGGACAATTGTATTATTAGTCGTATTAATATGTTCATCAGTATTCTCATTAGTCTCAGTATGAGTATGAGTTGTCGTAGTAGTAGTAGTAGTAGTTGATGTTGTTGTTGTAGTAGTAGTATTACTACTACTACTACTACTACTACTACTGCTACTACTACTACTACTACTACTACTACTACTACTACTACTACTACTACTACTACTACTACTACTACTAACTACTACTACGACTACTACTACTACTAGTAAATAACTGTATTAGTAGTAGTAGTACTAGTAGTACTAGTAGTAGTAGTAGTAGTAGATATAGTTAGTAGTCTTAGTAGTAGTAGTAGTAGCAGTAGTAGTAAGTAGTAGCAGTGGGATCAGTCGTAGTAGTATTAGTAGTGTAGGAGTAGTTAGTAGTAGTAGTAGTAGTAGTAGCAGTAGTAATAGTAGTAGTAGGCGTAGTCGTATATAGTCGTAAATCGTAGTAGTTAGCCAAGTCGTAGTAGTAGTTCGTGAAAGTAGTAGTAGTAGTAGTAGTAGTAGTAGTACTAGTAGTAGTAGTATGTAGTAGTAGTAGTTAGTAGTAGCAATAATAGTAGTAGTAGTAGTAGTAATTCGTCGTAGTAGTACTAGTAGTAGTAGTAGCAAGTAGTAGTAGTAGTAGTAGTAATAGCAGTAGTAGTAGTAGCAGCAAGCAGTAGCAGTAGTAGTAGTAGTTGTTGTATGTAGTAGTTGTAGCAGTTGTAGTAGTAGTAGTAATCATAATAATAGTCGTAGTCGGTAATATCAGTTCGCTAGTAGTAGTAGTAGTCGTCGTAGTATGTGTAGTCGTAGTAGTATTAGTATTAGCATTAGTAGTAGTAGTAGTAGTAGTAGTAGTAGTAGTAGTAGTAGTAGTAGTAGTAGTAGTAGTGGTAGTGGTAGTAGTAGTAGCAGCAGCAGCAATAGTAGTCGTAGTAGTAGGAGTAGGAGTAGGAGGAGGAGGAGGAGGAGGAGGAGGAGGAGTAGCAGTAGTCGTAGTAGTAGTAGTAGCAGCAGCAGTAGTAGCAGTATTCTTCCTCCTCCTACTCCTCCTCCTCTTCCTCCTCATCCTCATCCTCCTTCTCCTCAGCGCCCCCTCCTGCTCCTCCCTGCTGAATTCTGTGCTACCCTCGAGGATGAAGGTAATAGGCTCCTGGGCGTTTTCGGGAGGCTCTGGTGCGCTTTGTGGCCCTTCTCGGGTCCTCTGGAGGCCGCTGGGACCCCTGACGTCTGGGAGTCAGGGCCCTGGGGCGCAAGCAGAACTTACAAGGCCGGCCCTCCCCGGACATCCGACGCCGCGATTTTGTTCGCAGCGTGGCTCCCAGAGAGACCCTCCCTGGGCGCACTGCGACGCCGACCCGCAGCCGCTGCCAGGTTGGTCCCCTCAGCCAGGCCGCGCCCACGCACCCGCCGCAGCCTGGCTGCGTGAGTGCGCTCCCGCGCATTTCCCCCCCCCCTCTGCGGCCGCCTTCTCTCTTCACCTCCCGCTCCTGCATGCGGGCTAATTCGCGACTCCGTGCCCCGTTTTCTCTCGGGACGCGCGTGCGAATGGCCTCTGCCGCGCTGCGACGGGAAAGGCGCCCCAGAGGTCTGGACCCCTTTCCAGAGACCCGCCTTCCACCCCGAGCCGTTTCTTGACAGCCCCCGGGCCCAGCAGTGTGCCCCCAGAGGCCGAAAATCTTGGCGACCTTTCAGCACCGAAGGACGCAACTTGAAGGCGGCCGGGGGGGGTCTACACTGGATTGGCGGCAGGGAAAACATGTCAAGAAGGGGGGGTGAGATAAGGGCAACTCCGCTCAAATCGGTCCCCAGACTCCTCCTGGGGTCCATCTGGCGCAGTGTTTCACCCCAGATCCGTTGATGACGGCCCCGTGGCCCGAAAACAGCCCCCGGAGACCCAAAAAGGGCAAGAAAAAAAAAACATCTCGAACTCAGGACCTCGAATCTTGACCCCTCTTCCTGCCCGCCGGAACCAATTCCGAGCCACCGCATACCCTCAGCTGGCCCCAACCGACAACCACCGAAAGCCTTGCCGAACTACCTCTTCCCAGCGCGAAGCCGAGGGGAGCGGCTGCCGCGAGCCCCTGTCCGCACACCCTCACGCGTTTCGCGACCCACGGGAAGCTCTACCCAAGCCCCATTGGACATGCTCGCATGGCGTCCCCGCGCCCACTTCGGCACACAATTCATACGTCTTGGCTCACAGCTCCTATTAGGGGAACAAAAAGTGACATAAACATAAAAGCTCGGAGGTCCGCGCGAATTTCTCGGATCGGCGCTGGGGCCCCCCGGCGGCGCCTCCGGCGCCACCCCCGGCGCGCTCCGCGCGCCAGGGAGGGGGGT